CGCACATTGTATTCAATTAATAGAAGATTATTTTGGATAATTAATATGTAAATAAATGTGTTTTGACTTATCTTGATTTTCTATAACCATCTAAATGTTTATAACCGCTGTGTAAAACTTATATAGTTATTACTAGGCTCAGTCATATTTAAACTAAAGTTATTTAAAATATGCAGGGTGTTTCAAAATTCGCACCCCTAAAGTACAAGATCCTTTCCTTTTGCAAAATTGCATCTGACAACAGTAGTTTTTGCAGGAGAGCAGGTTGAAGTTGTACGAGTAAACGCAAAAATTATTTATCGAATGTAATTTTATTATAGGAAAAAGTTGTTCGTTTTAGCACAAAAAATAACTTTTTCCTTTAACAAAATTGTGTTCAATAAATAATTTTTGTAGAAGAACAGATTGAAGTCAACAAATAAGCACAAAAATTATTTATCGGATGCAATTTCGTTAAAGGAAAAAGTTGTTTGTTTTAGCATAAAGTATAACATTTTATACTTCGCGAGCGCGAATTTTGAAACACCCTGTATATTTCAAATTTTAAAAAAGTAAGAGTTATTTAGTATTTATTATTTAAAATAATTTCTTCTGACTTATTTATTATTTAATATTTTAAGTAAAGCCTGCGACACGATGCTTGTTTTCCTGTTGGATTGCTAGCTGGATTAAAATCTTGCCACCATACTACGATACTGGCACTGACAGCATCGCAACCAATACGACGGCAAAATTCTAATCCAGCTTAATTTTTCGAAGTCTATTTTATATTTTTTATTTTAAGTCGCGTCAGTTTTTTACCGAGCTTTGATTATCATTTATATATATAGTTGTCATTATTTTATTATACAATATATGTATGTTTTATCACGATGTCCTCCAATCTGTTTTGACAAAAAGTAACATTTCTACACTGAGAGAAAAATTGTTGATATTTATAACTATATAATTATGTTGCTATACTCATTCATAAAAAAAAGTGGTATATTAAAACTTTAAGAAAAATTTACCAAATTTTAAATGATTATAACTTGGTAAACAATGTAGAAAAACGTGAATAAAATTAAAAATGCAAAATAAAATTCCAAGTATCCATTTAAGAATATTTAAATAACAATTATGCTTGGACATTCTTTTCAAAATGGCGGATGATAAATAAGAAGATGCAGAATTGATGATTGAATGTTGAACTTGCGGCGGTGTAAATCAGGTATCGCAGCCCAATGACATATGAAAGTATAGAATTTTATCTTTGAAATGCTTTTTTAACGAACTTGATACGATTATAAGAGGTCCTACAGACGAGCGACTTTGTAGCGGCACAATCGAAACGCTGACCCATTCATACGTTATATTCATACAGTTATATTCTGTACCACTACAAAAAAGTGAACATATTCGTGACACTTTTCTCCGTAGTTTCGTATGAACAGGTTAGCATTTTCGATTGTGGCGCTACGAAGTCACTTGTTTGTAGGAGTCCTAAAAATAAAATATCTTTAATATCGTATACACGAATGTTGACCACTTGTAATTTGGCATTTTATTAATACATACAATACATACATTGAACTTGTTACGTTGCAAATTTTATTGAGAAATATTCTAGTGAAGAAAGTACACGATTGTTACTTTGATTATCCTAAAACAAAAAATCCAAATAGTTTTATAAATTATAATGTACTCTCTATCGTCTAGCTTTCTTCAATTTTTTTTTAAATTGATGAAAATAAACATGCTTGAACTTTTGATACATTTTTAGATATTATAAATGTTATTGCATTTCGAAAACTAAAAATGTTATCAACAAAGTCATCGGTCAGATAGGAAGTACGTTATAATTTATGAACCTACTTGGATTTTTTGTTTCAGAATAATCAAAATGGCGGAATCGTGTATACATATGTATTTATGTGCATGTACAATCACATTTTACGTAAATTGTTGTATTTCCTCGCAAGATCAATATTTCTCAATAAAATTTGCAATATGACAAGTTTAATATATGTATTAATAGAGCCGGTTTTACCAACGCCGATTAACCCTATCAGGATTAACTATCAATTAGTCAATTTTATAACTAAACAGCAAATACGATTATCAATTAACGGTCGATTAAGTTAACTGGCGTTGGTAAAACCGGCCCATAAAGTATCAAATTATAAATGGATCGTATTATACTTTTCCCACAATTCATGCTCAAAAAAATCTTCACTTTTCAGACTAGTCAGAGTCCCTAGAAAAACAGAGTCTGACCGTCAGCATGTTTTCGATTACTTAGCTCATGTTAGTTTGCCCTCACTATGACAGCACGAATCACACTGTAAGGAAATAACGCACTTATTGAAATACTGTAGACTGTTTTCCAGCTGAGACACAGAGACATTACACTGTGTTCCATTGTGTAAAGTATTTATTATATTTCAGTTTAGTTTCATAGTGTAATACCAGAATGCAGTCTTCCATTCTATTCTTATAATTATATTTAGCGTATGAATAATAAATTTATGATTTTATTTAGGTTTAAGTTATAATTTTTTCAGAATTGACGATTTTTGAAGGTTTTATTGCAAAATAAGTATGGCTGCCAAATAACTTTTTGAAAAGTTGGTAACATCGACATATTTTACACACTCGTACTTAGCTTTTTACTGTGTGTGTCGAGCAATGTAACACTGTTATTTGGAACACTTTGTATAAGATACAGTGTTACACTGTGTTACCTGTGTACGTTGTTGGAAAACATCCATAGACATGAAATAATGCAAAACATTTTTTATTGATATATTTCATATTATAATCACAGGAATGTTATAATTATAAAGAAATAATATAATTGTGAAGAAATATAATACAATCTGTTTAATAAAAATATAAAATTTCAAATGAAAACATATAGTTTCAAATAAAATATAAATTTGAAACGGTAATATTATTTGATGATGGAATGCATTGCTATAATTTTACTGCTATATGTTTTTTTTAAACATTTGCACTCACAAGAAATACGCATTCTAAACTTAATGAAACGTTTCCATATTTTTAATAATAAATCATGGCAATTTTTAATTCTAGAACAACTTACATCTTGCATTTTATTCATAAAAAAATGTATAAAATTACATTGAGAAGGACGCCAGTGGGAGAATAATAAAAACGAAATGTGAAATCAAAATAAAAAAAGACTTAACAAAAATTGGAGATGACGCAACATCTAAGCTCAGATAAAACAAACACATCTGTTCTGGTTCACACTTGTCGTGGAATTAATTTTTAAGTACAAAAGTGTAAAGTGTAAACACTAAGAACATATCTTCACCACTTTTATTTGACATTTTGAGGGTATGGCCAGACCCTGTTTTTCTAGGGACTCTAGTCAAAGTATATTCGCCACTTACTCACACGTGATGGAATTATTTTTTGTAAAAAAAATGAATTGAATAAAAAATGATCGGGCTCAAAGATTGATCTGATCGATTTGGCATAGAATGCTTCTTACACGGATATATATGAGTGTGCATATTATATTAATCAATAAATAAAATTAAAATTAGTTTATAATATAATTATCTATTATATTATATTAAATAGCGAATCTGGTTAATTATTAATGAATTATAAAAAATAAAAATAAAACTCGGAAAAACCCAATAAAACCCGAGTTTTTTTTTAAAATCCATTTGGGTTGGATTTTTTTAAACCCGAGTTTTTTCAAACCCTGACATATTTACTGATGATATCAGTTACATCAAAGGAAGAAAATGGCACTATTGATTATATACCTAATATTAATGTACACGTATAAAGTTCACTTTAGACAATCTATAAATCGTGACTAAATTCCAGATAAAATTTTACATATTATTTTCTATGTCACATATCTTAAATATAAATGTCCTAATAAACTATATTTTTTACATTGTGCATTTTACTTCTTCAAATGTTTTCTATGTTACACGACAATCAAAATTATAAATATATTTCTATTTTGGTCGAATATATAGATCGTCTAAAATGGACTTAACACTTTTGTGCTATTTGTTTATTTTTAAATGTTATATCTAAAATTCGCGCTTGCCTTGACTCTTGCATATGGCGAATTTAGACAAATTACTAAACTACTAGTTATCTCATTGATTTAACTCTTTTCTTAGATTATATGCTCTTTGGGAGGCAATTAGAACTCTTATTATTATTTTTATAAATTTTTGAAAAAGTGAACTAAGTTTACGGAAGGTGTTGGCTAGTTGGACAACCGTTTTATTTGTATTTTTACAGAATCTATCGCGCCTCGGGAAATGTTCCCGAAAGAATTTTTGTGTTGCGTTCCGCGAGCGATTCACGCAGGGATGCAATATCGTATATTCTACATAAAAGGTGGGGAGAAAGAACGTAACGGCGGCAACGTAAACCGGGGAGAAGGTTGAGAGGGAGAGAGCGGATGTAATTCGAAGCATACATGCGGTGGCTAGAAGAGTGGAATGTTCAGAATCTTAAACGTTTAATAGGACATAATCGGTTAATAGGTCCCGCGCATTCAACCAAAGTCTGTCGTCACAACCTCACGCAATGAATGACAACGCGAGTCGCTCCTCGTACTCCGGATATTTTTATCGTCCCTATTTGCTCTATTCTATTTTCTTTCTTTTAAAAAATTCTATTTTCTTTTGAATCTTTTCTCTCTTTCTCTTTTTCATTGCGGTTCGAAACGCTGCATCGAGAGAATTTGTAGATATTCAAATATTCTGTACAAACACACTTACTTGTAGATTTACCTGTAATATGCTTGTTTACATCTCTAATTTTTTATATCATTCTCATATTTTCAATTCGATAAAAGAGAAAAGAGAAAGAAAAACGACGTTTATATAAAATTATTATATTTTTCTCTTTTAAAAACGAGCTTTAGCTCCAATCCCTGAAATATTGCAGACGTGTAATCGTTCCGTCTGTATTTCTTAAGAAGAAAGATCTATTCTCAAACGATGTTTGATTTGCAGAGTGGAATGATAAATGGTCGCCACCAGCAGCATGGTATATGAGGAGATAGTTGGTATACGGGGCAGCTGACCCCAGCCACCGCGCACGCTTTTCACGCGCGAGATGCCCCACAATTTAAACTCAGCTTCTGCCAACTCCGCCAACACGGGACCGAATCATCAAGCTTATCCACAGCAGCCGTACCATCGAGAGAATGCAGATGGAGTCCAGCCCGAGGTAATGCAAAATCGATCGTACTGATATATTTATCCTGCGTCGAATCATCGAACATCTTGGATATAGCGATAGCCCAAGTTAACATCCATAAGTAACACACTTTTCGTTTTATCAATCTGTTTTATCGAACTGTAATTCTTTCGTTTTAAAGAATTTAAAAACGTCTTTACTTTCGAGAAATACATATTTCATACCCTGATGGCTTCAAAGAGCGATTCGTTATTAGGTCAACAAAGAGTACTCTTTACTCTAAGCGTGGTTTACAATAAATTGCGCGCGCGCGCACGTATACACACTATCGCCCAGTCGCAATGCTTTGCAACAGCCAATCAGAAGCGTCAATAGTAATTAACGATGCTTCTAAATCTTACCGTCATAAAAAATGAAATACGAATAAAATTCGAGTAAGATAGAAGTTAAAATATTAAGTAAAATTTTTAAAATGAAAATTATTATGAATCCATGAAAACTATACGATGATCGTTCTTCAGAAAGAACCGGTGGAATTCGACACGTCGCATTTGCGAGGCGCTCCAGCGGAGGTCGAGGCGTTGGTGCACAACATCAAGGAAGTCGCCCAGCAATTCCTCTATCACTGGCGAACGTTCCCTGTCGTTCTGCCCCCGTCGTTATCTTCATGCACGGAAGGCGAGGATACGTTGGCACGAAAGAAATATCATCTAAGGGATCTCTTCGTGGCGCCTAGCTTTGATGAGCTGGACGCTGTTGCTGTGGATAGCAAGGGTGAGCCTAGAAGACTGACCAACAAACAACTGGAGAGCATCAGAGAGCGAGGGTAGGTGTTCCTTATGTGAACGTAGTGGGTATGTCAATTTCTTCTTTACTCATTTGACGATCGTGATTTTTAGCTAGTTATTATATGTAGCGGCAGTAGCTAGGCAGTAGAAAAAAGAAAAAAATAGAGAAGAGAGATTAATGTAATGTAGCCGTAATAGATGAACATACATATACTTGCGTCGAATCTGTCGAAATCTAGAAAGCGATGATATCGCGATAAAGACGTGGGTCTTGGAAGCGTATTGATGTTCAGCTTACGTTTTCGATGAATTAGACGCGCGGAATCTCTCTACGAAGAATAAATAAAGCGATCCTTCGCCTCAAGTGCGTGTGTGTGTCTGATATGCTCTAACGATTTCTGTAAAGCTTACACAAGGATAAATATGGAAAGCCGAAGAAGCTGAATGCCACTCAGTTGGAGAGCATTCGAAGATGCGGGTACGTGTGACACACTTAAGCGACAGTGTTTAAAAAAGTAAAGACAATGTGTTAAACGTTTATGCAATTAGGTCGATAGGTAAATTTGTACAGCAACAACCTCGGGATTGACTAACCCGGCTAACTTCCCTCGCGCGGGAACGATGTCGCGTTCACAGCATGATCTTTCATTTGCACCGCCATTAACTCATTTAATTTAAACGCCCGATGAATTATTTGCGGAGCGTTACGAGATAAATGCATATTATCGTATAACTCTTTTGCGCCACTGGAATTGGAGATTGGTATAACATCTTTTACAACGTGTGTATTCATTGTCGCATGGCACTCAATTTGTACAAACTGTATATTTCCAGCTGTTGTCTATCCTTAGTTTTTTTTTAAGTTTGGCTTGTACATAAAAACGCTGTAAAGAAAAAAAATCGTGAGCTTTAGCGACTATAGGATTAGTCGAAGTGTAATTCAGCACGGATTAGCAGCAATGCTATCGAAATAAGTATTCCCCGTGAAATAGAATACAAGTAGACATTTTACCCGTCACTGTATAAAACGTTTTATAATGGAAAGGGAGAACGGTACCTGCATTTGTTACAACATTCTTATCATTCCGAACTGTTTTTCTGTAGGACATGGCGCTTTGTATGATTGTGGCCGTCGCAAAATCACGCGAGAGAAATTTTATCGCGCGGCTGACCGATGATTCTTCTTACAGAGAGTTCGAAGTCGACTCGATCAACTTCGCCGGGCAGACTCATCGATGGCGATTGAGCGGTCTTCTACAACGCGGCCGAGACAGACGGCGGGATGCGTTGCTCACAGATCTCGCCCTGGCGACTAGGTTTCTCGTTGTAACGGCAAAGGCTAGATTAGTTTCCCATTGCTTCAGTGTCTCACAATCTTTGAAAGCCTTGTTAACGGGGCTGTTACGACTTCTCGGTGAGCAGTTTGCGTCCTTCGCGCGCTTAAATGTGACGTCTAAGCCGTATATCCGCATTATCGCCACTGCATTAGATCTATATATGCTCTATATACATATACATATACATTGCACGTTACATTTATTTGCATCTTACAGACATTATAATCGGTGTACCGTCGCTCCAGGCACACAATCTAGATGCTAAAATTAGGGAGGAACGCTGCCGATATCTGGTGGCGGAATTAGTCTGTAAGGTAAGACCATTATTTTCATTATTACTCGATAGAGATACGATCTTTATTACGTAAACCTAAATGATCGTCGTTTTTACTTCGATACATCATCACTGTAGCCGGAATATGAGGATTCTTTGGAACTCCTTTGTGGATTTATACGAAAGCAACTTCGTCGGGCGACAACGGAGAAATTCGAGGTCGAAAGAGAATCGTCCCAGCTGTTACCCGTTTCAGTTCCTTTTGTATTTGGAACACCTGGCGGGGCCGCGGTTTTTTGCAAAATGCAGAGAAGGGATATAATCAGAAAAGCTTTACCGACGCTCGTTGCGATTCTGGAGAGAGAGACAAGAGGCTGGTTCCTTCACTTCAGAGAAAGACTGATATCTGAATTGAGAGCACAAAAGAAACCGGACGACGAAATAGAACGAGTAAGAAATACTTTTTAATTAAAAAATTGACTACTATACTATATATTTAAAATTACACACATGCACACACACACACATTTATAAAAGTGATAAATTAATGTATATAGAATAAATTAAAATGTGTTTATTTTGTTGATTTTTAGGAAGTTAACGAAGCGGTAATGCGCGAATACTTGCAAAGAGTGTACTCAAATATCTTGTCGCATCCTGACATACTCGCGCTAGGTGAGGGCATTGCTCAGTTGCTGGTTCAACAGGCACAGTCGATTGTGTTGATGCACCGAGCGGTAGAGAACGTGCAACGGAAACTATCGCAAACCAAAGAATCTCTGCGACATCGCATCGAGAGCGAGCATCCGATTCTGTCACGTATACAACCATGGATGCGCGATCGTATGCGCGAGGCCGAGGAAAATTTTATCGAAGAGTGCGAATGGAGTGCGCACGAAGAAGCTCTTGCACTCTGCAGCCATCAAAATCTCACCCAGACCGTGTACTTTCTCAATCGTGATTTAACTTTCATGAAAGAGGTATCTAATGTCCAATCTTGGGATTTTATTTTAGAATTTGTGAAAAACTTGAAATTTTTCTGTTTCAGAGAGAGCCAGTTCTCCTGAAAGAACTGCGGAAGGTGAAAATCCCGACGAGAACTTTCCAATGGCCGACCCAAATCTGGCTACCAAAGAACTGGATAATAAGACGCAATTTTCAAGGTCAGTCCGAAATCATTCCTACCGTATTGAGCAATACTCCAACTTCTATCACGACGCCTCGCGCTGATCCCAGTCAGCCCGTCTTTTTGGTCGAAAGAGAAATTGTACACACAACTACAACAAGGTACCTCAATCAATCGAACTATTATTAAAATTATTAAAATTTTCTTGTGCTCGGTATTCTAACGATTTCGACGATGTATAATAGGTGGCCGATGTGGCGCTGGATAAATTATATCGCCAGAACATGGTGTTGGACATGGAATGCAATGTTCCTGTTGGGTGTAGCCGTACCATGGTGTAGTCCAGTGTCTTTCCGCGCTTTATTATTGGTACAACCATTTACACCCGACTTGGAATTGAGTCAACTAAATGGAACATTGTTCCCGAGAAAATCATCTCAAATGCCTACTCTCTGTTCTCGACTAATAGCACTGTGGAGGCATATCAGTAAAAGTCGAACGCACTTTGAAACTGAACCAGATACAGGTAAAATTATTTTTTATCGGTCTTGAAACATAGCCTTAAACCGAAACCGGAATAGTAGTAAATCACAAATAATAATTCTGACAAATAATCGGCGCAATTGACAAACAATTAGCTTGAATTGGAAATTGTATAAATTTACAAAAGAAATGTGATTAAAGGCACGAAGAACCGCCTTGACCGAATATGGCCTTTTTGCACTTACGCGTGTATAATTTTACAAGATATTTTATTAGATTCTAATATCAGGAAAATACGCTCTAACAATATTTTTTTAGGATTCATCGGCAAAGGTATGACCAGACATTTAAATAGGCTATGGAACTACGGTGCAAAAGGTCTGTTAGGCACACTCATCATTCTATTCGTATTTCCCATCGTGTGCGTTCTGGCGAGCATTAGTTCGCTGGTTATCGCTTTTACTGCGATCTTGTGGTTAGTTCCTCGTGTATTGGATCTTTCATTTGTTTTCTTTGAATAGAACGTAATTGAATTTAACTTATTATTATTGACCATTTCAGGATGCCTCTGGTCACAATGACGTTGCATGCGTTCATGGCGCTCGTGATGGATCTGGATAGTCCTGAACCGAACCGCAATCGATATTTCGTGGTAATGGAAGCATTAGTCTGGAACATCGGTATTCAAGGCTGCCTGCAACCGATAGCGGCGTTATTCGTAGCTCTTGCTCTATGTCCGGTCATCTCATTCGTGATACTTACAAGTAAATAAAATATAGAATTTTGTCAAGAGACGAGAAAATACATTCGAAAGAATTCTATTTTATATAAAATATTTATTCATGTAGCATAATAGCCAAATATTAGTGCAATAGTCTATTTATCCTTCATATATAGTGATAATATAACGATAAACATTTCGTCATATTAGATTAGGTCATTTTCAGTATCAGAACAAAAATTGTAAAATATCTATCTTTAATCTTACATTATTTAACGCTACATAAATTTATATATACTTGTATGATGTTCTTGTAGTCTCATTTTTCAGTACCAGTAGAGTATTGACAATCATTCCTCTCATTTCGTCCTATAAGATTACACTTATCTTGTATTATCAGTTCAGGTTTCTCTATAAAACGATTGAATCTTAATGTTTCTCAATTTATAGAAATTGGGACTTATGTGAGAGACATTAAGAAAAAAAAACATTAAAAAAAACACAAGATAGGTATAATAATCTCTACTGGTATTGAAAAATGAGACTATAAGAACATGATACAAGTATACGTAAAATTTAGCATTAAATAATGTAAGACTAAAGATAGATATTTTACAATTTTTGTTCTGATACTGAAGATGACTAAGATGATCTAATCTAAGGTCGAAACGTTTATCTTATCGCTATATTATCGTTACATATGAAGGATAAATAGATTATTGCACTAATATCTTGCGTTGGCTTTTATGCTCCTTGAATAATTATTTTTTACTTGGTCCAAAAGCCGATACTATATAGAATTTCTATTTTGTAGTTGCTGTGATACGTTACTGGGTCAGAGTGCTCTGGGATACGGCTATGTTCCACTTAGTGATCAAAAATAGGGGTCGGATACCAGCGAGTGACAGCTTCGTCGTAAAGAGAATAGCTGGACCGGGACTAGCTTCGGATTATTATTATCAAGTGAGAATTATACTTTTATATGTGTATGTGGCATCATAATAAATTGAGGAATAAGATTTAACTGAAATTATTCTCGTCAGATACGAGCGGAACAAGCATTGGCCGCGTTTGAAGCGAAATTAGAACTGGACGAATTGCTGGCCTATCAGCAAGAAACTGAAAGATTAATCACTCAACCGCAGAGAGATTTTACTCAATTTGTCGAAGCTTGTTTTGGCCCATTCGCTGCTAGTCTAGCCAAGACAAAGGACCCGTACAAATCGCTTGAGAAAGAAGCCAAAGATCTAATTGCTGTACTGCACGAGAAGCTGGATCGACGAAGAAAGAATTTGCAGACAGGCCTCGGTGTCGCAGTGAGGAGTAAGATAAAATTAACCACTTTCGACTTAAAGGTAATTATTTATATATTGCTGTAAAATCCTACGTGATATCGCATTATTTTAACTAATTACAAATTCGTACGTGCGTGCAATCCAGTTACGATACAATTAAAATAATATTGCAGGTGGTTATACAACAAGGCGCATTGATGTTAGAACGTCTCTATCCCACTCACGTTTTCGCAAGATTGCCTGGAAACGAGGAAGACTTTTGGGAGAACAAAGGTTTAGGGGTATGCGACTGGGCGGGCCTGGCAGGGCTTATGTATGCCGATATTTTCAGTCTAGATTTCCTACAACCACTCGACGACTCTGATACAAAATTCAGATTGGAGCCGCATCCGGGAGTTGATTTGTCACGATACACGGACATGGTACACAGTACTGAGCTTGGTGGCATTAACGGACCCGATTTACTCGGCGCTGTTTACGCACCACGTGGGAATATCCAAGTGCACAGCCCGTATCTCGAAGTATCTGCCTTTAATCCGAGAGCTAAACAAGCTAGCAACAGCAGAAAGTCTGACAAACGATGGTAATTACTTCTTAATTATATGATAATTTTCTGAAAGGAAAAAAAACACATATAAAACATGATTCTTCACAGCGATACTAGCGGCCTGTTAACATCGACGAAAATTCGAAGACGCACAATGACGAATGAGAACAGCGCAGAGGGACGGTGGCAACCGTGGAAACGTCAAATTCATCCGTATAGTGCGGAGAAATTGGTGATACCTCTACCGATTCCGCATCCGGCTCACATAGCGGTGACCATACACAATCGCGATTCGGAGGATCCGATACCGCTCGACTCCGAACTGTGTCAGAACATCCTTCGAGCCATCGAGGAATCGCCCGGCGAGATGGCGACGGAATATGTGAGTCGATACAGAGGTGGCGGTGGTGACTCCAGCTTTGATTCCGTCGCGTCGCAGTCATCGGTCTCGATCGACACCGGTCTGAATAAGGAGAACGAAACAACGCAAGAGATCGCCGCGGCGACCGCCGAGAGGGAGGGCGAAACCTACCACTGGACACTGTCGAATTGGGGCGGTGGCATAACGCGAAGACGGAATAATTCTGGATCCATAAAGGTTGATCTAGCGTCACCGGAGGACGTCACCCTCGACACAGATACCACCAGAGTGATGTTCAGCACGTACGGAACAACCGTCTAAATTAAGTCCGCTGTTATACGCGCCGAATAAAACAATTATTTCGTTTCGCATTTATAGATAATATTAAAAGAAAGAAAGAGAGAAAGGGGGGAAAAAATAATTCCTTTTGCGAATCCTTAGAAAATAACTTTTGCCATTCAAGATGATGCGATGTAATATTAAATATTCACGTTATCCGCTCTCAATTAGAAGTAACACGGAATGATCGGTACATCATAATACAGATTAAGCATTTAATAATGTATTTACGATCCTAATCAAAAGTATAAATTTCGAAAGGAAAAGCATATTTATGGATTTAATTGCCCTACAAATACATACATGTAATCGAGTAGTTCTCAGTGAATTACAATTATTTGTATTGTCAAAATTTAAGCGTGAATCTATCATATTCAAATTTTATCTGAAAATCTGTTAGACAGATATTATTCGCCGACGCTGTTCCTTCGATACCGAAGCTCATAAACAGAATTTCGATTATCGGACGAATATCAGTTTAACGAGGAATATTATGCAAGCGCAATGCAAGATTCCGAGATTTAATTATTATGAGATCACGATTTTTAAAAATATATAAGAAAGTATTATATATATATATATATATATATATATGCTGCGGTTCACTTAGTGCTTCAAACGCTACAGAGCATTTGTAGCATGACTGGTCCATTTGATGCTTTGGAACGCTCCTAGCAACTCTACGTCATCGTTTTTGCTTCCATTTCGCTCCAACCTTGCCTCACCTCGGGAGGTGGGTTGGCTGGAACGTTAGCAATTATAGCATTCGGAATAGTAATGGACCAATCGGAGCATAGCGTTTAGAGCGTAACGTTCAAAACATTCGGAAGAAGTGGACCGCAGCCCAAAAGAGAAAGAAAGAGAGAGAGAGAGAGAGAGAGAGAGAGAGAGAGAGAGAAACAGGATATTCCAGATTTTAGCGCATCATGCAAGATTAGATGAGGTTTTTCTCTTTAATATTACGTTAATTAAAAGAAAATGCGACATTCATATTGATATACTGTATATAAATAGCTAATTGTATAAAAATAAACTTGTTAATATAATATTACTCCAGATATACATGCTCTCCGTTATTTATGACGAAAGCTAAGCGTCAACAGGCTGTAACAAAGAGGATTTATGCTTACAATTGTTCAATCGTTTAATATTTAATACAACGTATTATAAGCATGCGCTTGGCGGCGATCATCCCGAATCGATCGAGCGGAATCGTAAAATTTCCGGCACGAAGCATTAGTTGGAGCGTTTCCGATTACGTTAATACTTTGCCGACCGTTCAAATAGATCGACCAGATTCACGATTCATTACCGAAGGACTAATGTCCATTTAATCAATGTAGATTTAGAGACTTCAATTTTTCGGTTTAATTTATTCTTTATCTTTTTCTTAACTTAAAATAAAAAAAAAGACAAAGGAAAGTTAAACACACAGATTTCTATAACTAACTCACTTCAATTATTTTGCACGTGAGAGAAATGAGAATGATGTCAACAAGTCCTGATCTATGATCATGTATACAGATATACATATACGTACGGTATGTGAGTATATGTATTTGTGTGAATAGATGGGCATAGCAATCGAGATTATTAAAGAAAATCTACAAGGTAGAAATGGACATTATTTTGCGCCATGATATTTCTCTGTGACCTTTGATTAATTTGAAGAAAGCGGTACTAAAAGAAATTACGTAAGAGAAATTACAAAAAGAGAATTTTTAAAGACAATGCGGGTTACAAAAATTGTGTGGTGGTTAACGAGTTAAGGCATAACTCGCGCGGTTGGCAAATTGTTCAATGATAAAAAATGTATAGCGTAAATCGATTAAACGCGATCCGCGTGATCTACAAGGTACACGAAATATCATACCATTTAATTATCTCAAAACTATTACTATACTTGTAAAATATCGGTTTTTAAAATTTTTTTTAACTATGTGAACAGATTCTATCTGTACTTTGTGGAAATTCTATTAGGTATAGCGTCACGAGTCGAAATTGGGCGCATACATCAGTGAGATGGCGGACAACGCACCATTGACATAAAATGTTATAATTACAAGGGGAAATTTGTATTATTTTTTACGAAAACAGAAAATTTGGCGTAGAGTCGGAGACGTTTCCGCCCACATCATGCAATTGTTTGTCTAAAGATTTATGTCCGAAAGTAATGATATAAGGGCACATCTCTAAGAGATTGTGAAACAATTGTAATCAGCGATTATATTGAATTATCCATTTGATAATTTTCCAAGCTTTAGTAATTAATTCTATATCAGTTTCTGTACCAGTTTTATTAAAAATAAATATGTAATATGTAAAACAATAGTATGACATTTCGTGAATCATCTTGTATTTGACGAATGCGCCTCCGAGCACCTGGGAAGATACTATATTGTTCTTCCAGCGTCTCTCTATCTCAGTATATATTTTATTTTACTAATAAAACCGTGATAGATGTTAGTATGAAATCGGAGATCTCTCGATTCCGAATGGCGGTGAGCCGTACGGTGGAATGGAAATAAAAATCGCAATCGCAAGTGTATTATCGAGATATTGTGTAGATATGATGCAAGATAGCAAGAATGTGACAACGCGATACTGACTAACACCAACGCTACTCAGATTTAATAAAATTTACTGTAATACAAAGTATGTTTCGCTTAGCCTTGATCGATTTTGTTCCCCGACGTCGTGAAATTAGCAGCGAATGATTACGAATCGCATCAATGAACTTCGTGAGCCAAATCGAACGGTTTAAATTTAATCTCGAAAGAATGCTTCAAAAACATTTTATTGCAGATCAATTCATAAAATTCTTTCTAATTGGTCAACAAAGCATTTGTAGTTAAGTGGATTGTACCTCTTGCAAAAATCAAAACCAACGATCATCGATGTTCGATCGATTTGCGCGAAGCTTGAATATTTCAAATAATATTCCAATCGCGATGTAAGAATTCAAGATACAGCATCGCGCATAATAGCGATAGCAATATTGGAAACAACCAATCAAATTTTGCCCAAAATTCACTCTCCATTATGCATCCACGGAAATGTTTCACCTTGTATTCTTACGTCATAATTTCAGTCGTCTTTCATTTTTCATCGTCGCCTGACTTCACTCTGGCTAGCGACTCTCTCTCTCTCTCCATCTCCCTCCCCCACTCTTCTCATTACTCCCTCCCCCCTCTCTCCCTCTCTCTGCGGAGTGAAATTAGGCAACCTACGCACATAATTGCAGGAAAACTGTAAATCAAATCCATTTGCTTTGCTAAGTTGGTACACATGTCTTTCAGTTGTTTATATCAGTAAAAGTTTTTATGCGCGGCAATTTTTAGGGGCTCCGAACAATAAAAGGAACATTAGAATAGGTTGAATAGGAACATATTAGAATAGGTTGAAATTTTTATTCTCTATTCTCTGTTTCCTGTTCCTTTTATTATGCGGAGCCCTTTATCGAAAGAAGTTGTGCAAAGAAGTTGTTTGAACTTTTGCGTTACGAATGAAATTTCGTTCACAAACGCATTCAAAATGTTGCAATCATCGCCATAAACTTTTTGCAATATTTTGAATGCGTTTGTGAACGAAATTTCGTTCGTAACACAAAATTTCGAACAAATTTTTTAAAATCGCCGCGCCCAAAATCTTTACTGATATAAACAACTGTCTTAAACGGTTTAAAGGAACACCATGATTTAAAAAAAAAAATCAAATGTTACCAAATGTTAAATGTGAAGAATATGTGTACCAACTTAACAAATGGATTTGATTTACAGTTTTCCCGCAATTTAAAAAAAAATAAAGTTCGGATACTTTTTGATCACAGTACGAACACGGCCATACTTGAAACGCAACAACGTTCACGACAACTTCTGAATGCATCTCTTAAAGACGAATGTAAGCCGACTTTAAGTCAACTATCCTAAACTGTGGTCCGATTCATGGTCACAATGCTCATGAACAGCATTCTAACAACAGTTAAACAAGAACAAAATGATTTCACATTTAAGCTTGTGAGTTTAATAAATAAAAATATAAATCGCACTAGACATCCTAGACATCGATATTGAAAGGACGTCTGTACAAAATCGACTTACAGTCGACTCTAAAGGCCTGACTTAGCAAAATCAACTTATAGTCGACATATCGACGTTTGTGTTGTTAGGGCAGCAACGTTTGTATGCGCTTTTGAGCAGAAAGACTTAAATCTCGCAGTGGACAATTATTACCACGGTGAAAGTGTATTTTCACCATTATTACTTTCAGATTAAATAATATTCCATCGAAATTGTCGAAAGTCGATTTTCAAGAAAAAAGATAAAATAATATAAATATATAAATATATTTAGTACAAAGTTGCTTCTTAATTTCTAAAAAGTTCAAATGAAATCTGTCATTTTTTTTCAAAATACATATTAGGTGTTGGAATTAATTCGTAGCGTTTTTTAATGAAAGAATGTTATTTATTTCACATGAGCATTAAAAAATACATTAATGAAAGTACTTCCCATCACTTGTAAAACGCTAATTAATTCCAACACCTAATAGATTCTTTTTCAAAATCGAAACAAAGTTCAATGTTAACTGAATTAATTGAGCATCAATAAGATCCATAAGATTCTTATCCATCTCCACACTATTTTCTTGCACAAAAAGACCATCAAAATTTAAATTCAGTCGGAGATTTGTCCAAAAAAAATCGATGTCTTATTAAAAAGGTTTGTGAGTCATTCAGTTAATTAATTAATCATTTTTAGATCATGTATAGCTGAAAAAATTAACCGGAGATGAATTAAACATTCTTACGGAATCATTTGTATTTTGTTTGAAGGGTTATGAAGTATTAAAAAAGTTTGTAAGTCATCTATATAGTTATAATTAACTACATAAAAATCATGTAATTAACCGAAATATAGATTGAAGACGCTGCAGCGCTCCAGAAGTTCCGTCAGATGCTATCGTTAGGCTCATACATGGAATCGGAACGACGGAACGGATTTGTTATTAGAAATTTTGAAATCACTACAATTCCGTTCTGTAAGGGGCTCCGCACAATAAAAGCAACAAGGAACAGAGAACAGAGAATAAGAATTTCCATCTATCAGAAATTGTGTATTCCACAATACACATAGATTGAAATTCTTATTTTTTGTTCTTTGTTCCTTGTTCCTTTTATTGTGCGGAGTCCCTAAGAAATTTCTTTACCCGTCCCATGTAGCCGGAACGGAATGAAAACGGATGGAATGTCGCCTCGGTCGCAAGTTAATTTGCTTAATTTAATCAATATTTCGTTATTTTAATGCAGTAATATGCATAATTTGTGCAATTATCTTACCTATAACATTATTTTAAATACTCAAAAATATTAAATTATAAGTGAGATATTTTATTAGTAAAATTCCATTGCATTCCGGCTACATGAGATGAATAGAGAAAATTTTTACGGAACGGAATGTTCAGCTGAGTTGATTTAAAAATTGAAACGAATATTCAGAAACTTTTTTTGTAAATCTACAACCACTACTAAGTAGTGTTATTACTAATGTTAAAATTATTGCGAAAGGCAAGAAATGTTGGCGTGCTATTCCGATATTCAAGAATATGCGAAAATTTTATTTCGCTTATAACGTTTTATTGCAATAGCAGAAATATACAAGAAAACAAAAATTCTGGATACAGTCAATGTTTACACAAAGAAAGAGATAGCACCAAGGTACAATTTAGTCCTAGAAATGCAAATGACCGATCATGAGAAGTTCTTTAATTCAGAATGACATCGGAATTATTTAAAGAATTGCTGGCATTATAGTTAGACTATATATATATATATATATATATATATATACATAAAACAAGAATATGTCGTATTGAAAAATAAGAATTATTATTAATTTCCTTCTTTGAAGTTGTCAAATTCTCAATCATCAATAGCCGAATCGACATAGCCTGCAATCGATATGACATTCCGTTGATTCCGTATTGTCTCTATACCGTTCTGGCCATGATTCCGGTGGTTCCGATACAGTAGAGAAACTTTTTAGGGGCTCTGCATAATAAAAGGAACAGAAATAAGGGAACACAGAATAAGAATTTCAACCTATCAGAAACTGTGTATTCCGTAACATATGATAGGTTGAAATTCTTATTCTCTGTTCTCTGTTCCCTGTTCCTTTTATTGCTCCTTACAGAATGGAATGCTAATGAACTGATTTCTAGTAAGAAATCCATTCCGTCGTTCTGATTCCGTGTATATGGGATGGCATCTTCAGTCTTTAATATTTCGATATTCCTGAACGTATTATGGAATTGCTTGGAATGAGTTCCGATTAAAATAATTCAATTATTTCCTACATTTCTCTTGTATTTTCTAAAGAAATTGTAAGAAAACGAAATAATTCCAATCGGAACCCATTCCAAGCAATTTCATAATACACCTAGGGTATCATTCATTCAGGAAATTTTTTTCCTAGGATAAAAAAGTAAAAAGTGAAAAATTTCTCCATTAACTTCAATGGTTAAAATTTTTACTTTTCACTTTCCATCCTAGGAATAAAGTTTCATGATTGATATCCAGCAATATCGAAATACTACAGAGACTATGACGATAGCGCCTGACGAAACTTTCGGAGAACTGTAGCGTCTTCAAACTATATTTCGGTCAATGACATGATTTTTATGTAGTTAATTATTTCATAAAATCCTTGTTATACAGGGTGGGCCATCTATTGGTACGTTTTTAAAAATGCGATCAAATGAGCATACATTGATATTTTTTATTAATTTTTTTTTTGTTGTGAAGCTAAAAGTATCCGCGTCAAGAATGAAAAACGATTTCGTTCATGTGGCTCCCTCTACTGGCCTTACAGTATGCCATTCGGTCACCCCAATTATTAATGACATTTTGGACTACCTCGGCGCCAATTTCACTCAAAACAGTCGTAATATTGTTTTTCAAAGCTGGAATTGTCTCACACTTTGGGCCACAGCCTCAATATTCTCGGGTGTGCGCACTGTCCGAGCTCTGGGACCACTTCTGTCATCCACTAACATCCCTTTCTCACGAACTTTCCTCACCAATTTGCGTATAGCTCCTTCGGTGGGTGCTCTATCACGACCCATATTTCTTTTCAAAATTCGTACAGTTTCGGCGACACAGCACTGACTTTGAAAATAAGTTTTTAAAATTTCAAAACGCTCTTCAAGAGAAAACATGTTGTTTCGTGCCGCGGACGGTATGACTAATAAACTGTCAAAATTTCGGGTCTGTAGCTCGTTCGGTGTTGCCATACGACGAAATTCAAAAACGTACCAATAGATGGCCCACCCTGTATATGGATAACTCTCAAATTTTTTAAATATTTCATAACTCTTCATACAAACGATTCTGTGTAAGAACGTTATTTAATTCACCTTTGGATATCAATCATGAAACTTTATCCTTAGAAAAATGAAAAATGAAAATTTTTACCATTGAAATTAATGGAGAAAATTTTCACTTTTCACTTTCCATTCTAGGGATAAAGTTACATGATTGATACCCTGGTTTTTTTTTTATTAAATACATGGTGTAAAAATGATTAATTCATTACAATTAACTGACTCACAAATCTTTTCAATTGCACTTTAAAATTCTTCATACGAAATACAAACGTTTT